CAGCCAGTCCCGTAATGCATTCACCAGGCGATTTTTTCGTTAGCAAGTAATTGCTATCGAATGTTCAACCGTTTTCGATACAAGAAGTACTCAAGACGTATGTAGACCAAACTCCGGCGTAATCCTTAGCTATTCTGGACATTTGTGAAGACAAAAAGGAAAGAGGATGGACTACCGGCTGAGGTTCATCTAAGCGATAAAAAGCCAACAATTTAACCTCCTGGCAGAGCATTTCAATAGTGTTTTCAACGATTCAACGGCATCGTTAAGCCAAGTTGCTGGAGGGATCAGAGATACTCCCAGTGACGCGGTCATATTGGACCTCGTCGATTCTGCCATCCAGAAGCTAAAATTCTCGAACACTGTTGGGCCTGACGGCATTTCATCGTCCATACTCAAATGATGCTCAACATAACTTTCCTCTTCGCTTTCAGAGCTGTTCAATATTTCATTATAACTAGGTGTATTTTCCTCTTGATGGAAATCTTCGTTGATGTCCCCGATTTTCAAGAAAGGAGACAAGCGAAAGTTGGAGCCTGCTCGAAAGTATTCGAGATAACCACCAACGACGCCAGCTGAAGAAACTACATTTATCCTGATCCATAAGTGTTCCACCCCAAACGTTTCAGTCTCAACAAACCTCGCTCCTTTCATTTCCCCATGCCTACGGAATATGGAGGCAGGAGCACAGATGGACGTCGTATACACGGACCTCAAGGCTGCTTTCGACCTGGGTGATCATGCCATTCTACTTGCCATACTCGAGAAGCTCGGTGTCTCTCAAGAACTCACTCGTTGGTTTGAATCGTATCTTACCAATCGAGAGCTTTGAATGAAAATCGGCTCTGATCAATCGGAATATTCTTCAAACAACTCAGGCGTTTCTCAAGACAGCAATTTTGGGACCGCTGCTATTCTCGATATTTATTAACGAAATCGGTTTGATACTTTTAACTGCCTGCCGGTCATTCTATGCAGACGATGTCAAGATGTACGTGGTTGTGCGAGACGCTTCACTGGTTGTTTGCGGTTGCAGCACCTGATCGATAGTTTCGAAGAGTGGTGCTCTAGGAAATTTCTCACGTTGAGTGTACAACGTTCGTGATCAAGGAATTACACTTAATTCTGCTTTGACATTCAAGCTACATTACACGGATATCATAGCCAAGGCTAACAGGCAACTCGGATTTATCTTTAAGATCTCTGATGAGTTTCAGGATCCTACCTGGATGACAGCTCTATATTGTTCTCTAGTGCGATCAATCTTGGAATTTGGTGAAGTAGTATGAAACAGATTGGATAGCGAGGATCGAATCTGTTCAGAGGAAATTCGTTCGTTACGCTCTTCTTGTATTTCGAAAAGATATGGGGTTTTTACGCCTATAGCTTATATTGAATCCCGAGCAAGGTCGTGCACACTCAGCTAGTAATATATAAATAAAAGTGTAGTTACAAACGTTTAACATTGAATAGAGTATATGACGGCTTCGGCAATACCTTATTCTATTATCGTCAGGGGGTAAACAACTCGCCACTCTACGCTAATTGAATCCCACAGTCAGTCTATTCGAGCTATAATGGAAATCGCTACAGCTGCTGACGAGTTGATAATCATTGGCGATTTCAATCTACCGGCAATTTCTTGGCGATCAACTTACGGTGGATTCCTGTATACGGACCTCGACCGTTCTACATTTCACTCTGGAGCTGTAAGCCTTTTGAATCATTATAGTATCGCCACTCTGAAGCAAATCAACCACGTGGTTAATGAGAACAATCGTAGCTTAGACCTTTGCTTCGTCACCGCTCAGGATACTGCTCCGCATTTGTCTATGGTTGTGAGGTCATTCCACCCCCCTAGAGGTCTCCTAAGATTTCCGAAATGCTGACAACGACAGTATCGGGGAACTTCTTTCGAATTTGGACTGGCACAGGATACTCGCCCCTGCCTATGTCAATGCAGCTGCCCAAACGCTCTCGCATATTTTGGCTTACGTCATTGAGCGACACGTTCCGAAAAAAAAACAAGGTTATCATCATCCTTGGCAAACAAGTGAACTCCGTTTATTAAACTCTTCCAAAAGAGCCGCGCTAAGAAAATACACCAAGTACCACACCCTACAACTCAATGTTGTCGGCGTGCCAATGTTATCGACGTTATCACGAGATGTTCAACGGAAGCTTCGATCTCACCCGAAAACTTTTTGGAATTATGTGAATGAGCAACAAAAGGAGTCTGGCCTTCCATCGACTATGGTACTGAACGGCGAAGAAGCTTCATCCCCTCAGGACATTTGCCGTCTGTTCTCAACCAAGTTTGCGAGTGTATTCTCGGATGAGAACCTACCTGACCAACACGTTTCTCTAGTAGCCAGTAATTTTTTAATATCTGGTCAATCTTTGGTAGCTATCAACATCGACCTCGCTATGATAACTAGGGCGGCTTCGCAACTGAAGCCTTCATTTAAGGCTGGACCTGGCGGAGTTCCTTCCGTCTTTCTCAAGCAACACATCGATAGCCTGGTGGCTCCTCTCTGCCTTCTGTTCGAAATGTCCCTCTCCAGTGGGGTTTCCTTCCTGCTGGAAATCAGCTAAGACGTTTCCAGTGCATAAGAAGGGATGCAAAAGAAACATCGACAACTATCGCGGCATCACATCGTTGTGTGCCATATCTGAGCTGTTCGAGTTGGTCGTTATGGAACCATTAGTCTCTCACTTCAAGCAGCACTTGAGCGAAGACCAGCGTGGTTTCATGGCAGGGCGGTCGACTACTTCCAACCTTCTGTGTCTCACCTCGTACATAACGGAGAGTATGACAGACCATATGCAAACAGATGTCATCTACACTGACCTATCAGCCGCCTTCGATAAGTTGGACCATCCTATAGGGATCGCCAAACTGGATAGGCTCGGTATAAACGGCAGTCTCCTACGATGGTTCGCATCCTATCTATCTGATCGTCAGTTGGAAGTTGCAATCGACGACTGCCGATCTCATTCGTTCCCTGCCACTTCGGGTATTCCGCAAGGTAGCCACCTCGGCCCGTTGATATTTCTTGTGTATTTCAATGACGTCAATTTCGTCCTCGACGGTCCACGACTGTCGTTCGCAGATGACATGAAAATCTATCTCCGAACCGAGCCATCGCTGACTGCCACCTTCTCCAACTCCAATTCAACGCTTTTGCTTATTGGTGCCAACTGAACCGCATGGTTGTAAATCCAACAAAATGTTCAGTAATCACGTTCTCACGGAAGAAACATCCAATTATATTCAGTTATATCCTAGAAGGCGTTGACGTACATCGTGTGAATCACATTAAGGATCTGGGAGTCATCTTAGATTGTCAACTCACATACAGCCAGCATATCTCGTACGTGATCGACAAGGCATCCAGAACGCTCGGCTTCATTTTCAGGATAGCTAAAAGTTTCACGGACATCTACTGTTTGAAGTCGCTTTACTGCTCCCTCGTCCGGTCGGTGTTAGAATACTGCTGCCCTGTATGGAATCCCAATTAACAAAACAGTGTACAAATATTAGAGTCTATTCAACGACGATTCATCTCTAGATTCATCTAGTTTGCCCTTCGACGATTGCCTTGGAGGGATCCTCATCGCCTTCCAAGCTACGAAAGTCGGTGCCAGTTAATTCACCTGGATCCTTTGTGGAGTCGAAGATATACGACAAGGGCCCTGTTTGTGGCAGACATTCTACAAGGTAGAATCGATTGTCCTTCTATTCTACAACAAATCGACGTTAACGTTCAACCACGAACACTCCGTAACAACGCAATGCTGAGGATACCTTTTCGCCGTACAAACTATAGTTCGTATGGTGCTATCAATGGGCTACAAAGGGTTTTCAATCTTGTTGCTTCCTTATTTGATTTTCACTTGGCACCAGTCTTGTAAGCGGTCACGGTAGTCGACACATTTTGTGTGATAATTGACTGCCTTTGCCTCCGACACTTGCAAAACAAGCTATCATAGTACAGTATCAAACTAAAATGTCGTATGACAGGCTCTGTCATACGACACTGTCGCCGAAGACCGTCGCGAATGTATGTATTTTAGTTTTTCTCATAATAAGAGCTGCTGTTGGTGTGCTTGTGTGAAATCTGAAAATAGCAAGCAATGATGTCCTAGTAATAATATTTCTGATCAGAAATGGTTTGATTTACACCAAATTGAGGGACTACAAAGAAATCACACATGTCATATGATAGCTATTTTGATAATTTTCTTTAAGCTCGAATGTTATTCTACCGCTCGTGTTGTGTGAGAGAGACGACGGTAGAGCATGAGTGTTCGAATACAAACAGACTGTCGCGCACGACAACGAAGCGAGTGTAGTAAAAAACGTCAACTGTTTCAACCCCTGCTTGGCACGCGAGACGCTGCGTCAGAGATTCCGTGATGTATTTTTAAGAATTAGGAATTAAGTTGGACTTCACGGCCTTTGCAACTTGTTCATACCTACAGGACGCCATTGCCGAGTGTGGAAAGCTGGATAGCACTTCTATTGATTATTATAGCTTTATAATATGTATATTATACGATATTTTAATGATCCAGTTTCGTTATTTACCACTTAAAACATTGAAACCCCTTTTTACTCAGAATTTTGTTTTTGGCATATAAGCCATATCTTCATTTATTGGCAGAGCTGACACATACGACAAATATTTTTTTTGATGAGAATATGAAACATAAGTGAGGTAGCGGGTATAAATTTTGCCTATAAGAAGTGTGAGCAGAGTAGTTTATGGGTAGCATTAAAATGTCAATTTGTTTACGTTTGTTAAATACGACCTATTCAAAGCACTCCATAAATGTGAATAATTTCACCTAACAAAAAATTATGCAAAGTTTCCTACAAATCGGAGAAACCATTCCTTGAAATTCTCCAAACATCCCCTTGGATATTTCTAAACGGCAGTTCTCCATCTCAATCATTTCACAATCTTCAACACTTTACATTTTTTCAATCTTTCCAGATCTGCGAACCACTCCGACTTCCTCTACGTCCTATCCGGTGAAACGCTAGGCAAAGACGTCAGAAATTACGTTCTAGCTCTGCATCGGAACAAGGAACACGAAGTGGAGCTTTCCGTCGCAGAATATCGCGTCAGTATCGAGGATTACCAACACGTACAGTCCAGGGATAACGATATTAAAAAAATTACCCAAAATCTGCCCACTCAAGCTCCCCGAGCTGAGCGATCCAAGCGATATCTAATCTTGGCAAACTTCCACGATGAAATAAGCGTAGCCGACGCACAGATCATCAATCAAGCTGTGCTGGAGCGTCAGAATGTGCTGCAATACCCGCAGAAGTTGCTAAACATCCTTCGAGCTGCCAGGATCGATCGTAAACTGGGTGGCAGCAACATCTACGAATTCTTTTTAAATTTCAAAAATTCCAAGAAAACCGTAAAACAACTCTTACTAACCGACTGCTTCGAGGCTTCGACAGCGCCAAACGCTTACTACCGATTGGATCCGATCGTAAAGAACGGCATCTGCCTCATGGAGCTGTACGAAGATCCCCAGGGTGCAGACTTGGGCCTTTTCCTCATCCGGGAAGCAACTGACAACCCCCTGATAACCCACGTCCAACCGGCTCGACAGCTGAGCGAAGTAACCGACGCGACTCGGTTCATTGTAAATTACACCGTAGCGTTTGAAGACCTTTGCCGGCTACGAACGAGCGGAAAGTGCCACGAAGTAATCTACCGCGAAGACTACGGACTGGTGTACTGGATGAAAAGTTCCGGTTCGACGAACAAGCTACGACCTTTCTTGAGTTGCGGTGACACAGATTCCTACGAACGGTGCGTTCCACCAGGGCATTGGTTGAACGTGATCTACGCCGAGCGAAGCGCCGGGAAGAGCGCGTTCCTAAGGTTTCTTGAGCGAGAGTTCCGTCGGTTGAAGGCGTTTTCTGTCGTTCGGGTGGTAGATGGAGTTAAGCTGGACGAATTGAGCGGCTTATCGTTGGAGGACAAGCTGAGGAAACTCTGCGAAGTGAAAACGGAGAAGGAATTTGAAGCTCTGGAAGTTTTGATGAGACGCCCAGAAGAGGTACTGTTACTGTTCGACGCCGTAGATCACATCGGTAATTCGGTGGTGGAGTTTTTTAAGGAGCTCGAAGAAGGATTTGATGGAGCTGTGAAGGTCTGGATTGCGGCTGATCGCAAACTGCAAAATCTGATCGAGAACAGTTTTCCTGTAGTTAGTCACGAGTTTCCGGTGTTGAACGAAGGCGAACAAGCCAAATGCTTGAAGGTTATGGCTCCCCATTTAAACGAGGGTCAACTAGAAAAGGCATTGGCCTTGGCACGGCAGCAGAACGCCTATGAGGTTGATGGGTATCCCATCAATCATTCGTTCACGGGCAACGTGTTTCACTTGAAGTTAGTAGCCGAAGTAGGTTTGGAAGATAGTCAATCCAAGTACCAACCTGATCTGCTTGAGCTGTTTGTGCAAATCCATTGCATTTCCGGTAATCACGAAGAATTGGAGGAAAAGTGCTACCGAATGATCGCTGAAGGTCACTATGATGCAGCGGTGACGCGCCTGTGTCTGCATTCAACCATAGTGGAATATCTGGCGGCTAAATATCTTGCTAGGCGACTCGAATTGATTACCTTAGAACTCTACCGCAAGTTCCGTTCTCTAGGAAACATGTTGGACCGTATCTTGGTTCGGAACTGCAATCTTGCCAGAGCAGTTTTGAACAAAGATCTAGAGCAGGTGCAAGCAAATCTTGAACAACGCGGGACATCATTCGACACACTTCGCCGAACTCCTTTGCATCTATGTCACGACGCCCTTCCCATCGCTGAAGTTTTGATTTCCGCCAGTATCGATTTTGAAGTTCGTTGTCTCCTCTCCGATTGCACACCTCTTCAGATGGCAGACGAACGGCACGATTGGAAACTGGTTGACCTACTTCTCAAGCATGGAGCAAATGCTAGCTTTCCATCCTTGCGACTACGTTTGATGCCGTCAAATGAGCTAGTCAAAGTTCTAGATAGCTGTATCGCTTACAACCTTTCGGAGTTGACTCGTTGGATTCTGACTAATCGCCCGGATCTTCGGATAACACAACCGATCATCTACGCCCTCAGTGTCTACGAAGAGTTCAATCAGGAACTGTCCGATAGGATTCTTGAATTGGCCTTCGATCAAGATCTACCGACCCGGGAAGCTCCTTACCGGTTCATGTGGGGCAATACGGCTCTACATCTAGCAGCTCACGGCAATCGGTTGGAACTTTGTCGTTTCCTTGTAGAGAAACTGAAGTTTGACGTCGACGAGGAAGACTACAGTGGACAAACAGCTATCGACGAAGCACGAGATGTCGCAGTGGTGGAGTTTTTGAGAAGCAGAAGTGCAAGGAAGTCTAGAAAGAACATGGTTTCTGCCAGCGAACCGGATGATAGGCGTGAAAGTACTCAGGGATCGGTGTTCTTCAGAGCATGCTACTCGGACAACCTGGACTTAGTTCGCTATGCCGTCGAACAGGAAGGTCACAATCCTCTTGAGAAGGAGCGCGGTTCCTACGGGCTTATCCAAGCAGCAGCTTGGGGAAGTTTTCCGATTGTGCAGTATCTATACGAAGTGGGTTTCCACGACCATCTAGACCTGGAGGACGATTCGCAATACACGGCCTTGGCGACAGCTGTTCGCTATGAGCATTTCGAAATCGTGAAATTTCTAGTCGAGAAAGGAGCAGACACCGGCAAGATCCGCGATACACCCGCTAATCGAGAGCTGTTAAACTTCATGATCGAAAGCTTTGAATTCAAACCGGTCGTTAATTTTGAGGCTTTGGCCAATCTGAGCCTCGAAGATTTGCGAGAAATCGCGTTAGATTTTTCAACGAAAGATGAGAACGGAAGAATCTTCCTGCACTACTACGTCGAGTACTACTCAGATCCGGAAATTCTACGCTTCCTCCTGACCAAATACGACGACATAGACTTGGAATGCCAACACACCGGAAGAACTGCGCTTCACGAAGCCCTGATATCTAACCATCCCCAACTGGTCGACGTACTGTTGGAAGCCGGAGCAGACTTTCGAAAACGTTGCAGTCAAACCGGTCGGAGCGTTTTGCACTTTGCTGCTGCGGCCATCAACAAACGGCACATGGAGTCGTTCTTGACCAAATCTGGCCTGACTATCGACGATCGAGACAAGGACGGTCAGACGATCATGTTTTATCTGAAAACAGGTTCGGTTGAAACCGTTCGGTATTTGGTCGATCACTACGGAATGGATGTTAATGCTCGGAACAATCAAGGTCAAAGCATTCTGCACAAAACGATCATAGAACCGACGTACTTCTACTTGCATGAACTGGAAATTCTATTGAGAGACGTTGAAATTAGACAGAACATTACCGATCTACAGGGGAGACTAGCTTTACACTACGCTGTGGAGCAAGATCAACTCAAAGCAGTTCGTCTGATGGGTCGCTACGGCTACCTAGAACTTGACCTGAAAGATTGTAGCGGCAAAAGTCCCCGGATGTTGGCCGCAGAACTCAACCGAACTGAGATTTTGCAGTACTTCAACAGTTTGTAAATTACAGATACAATATAATTTAGGTAAAATAAAAACCTTCCTACTCACCATCGGGAACTCCTTGCTTCGCCGAACAATCTCTCCCATGTTCTCCTTCCGCATGACATCTCCTGTGTAGTCCTCACCGAAGCACCATGAGTCCAACGTGTGCAGTATGAAGCGATCGTCCACAATCATGTTCCCCAAGCAGTTACCCTCGTAATATGGATTCAGCGTGTTAGCAAACCAGCGCCACTGTACCATCTCCCGGTTCAGCTTCAGGTAGTGATTCAACCCGGTTATGAACGCTCCCGGTGCTTCGCACAAATGAACACTGTAAAACTCGCGACTTTCCGACGGCGGCGGAACGAGCTCGTACCCGGCCACGCACTCGTACAGTTTCGCGAACGCTTGCGTCACAAACTCCCCCCCGATTCGGTGCTTCAGGCCGGACAGGACCGGCTGCAGTGAGGACCGCCGCCGGGTGTGCTGATGCCAATCGCTTATCTCGAAATCATTCAACCGATTCTTCACCTTGTTCAGAGCGGCTTTCACCTTCTGCAACGATTCCACCCGGTAAGCCGGCCGGATGCTGAAAACACTCTCCAACGGAGGTAGCTCCGGAGGTTTTACGGCACCGTCTCCACCGCCATCGTCGGTAGGACGAAAGTGGAACTTCTTTTGAAACTGCTGAGCGACATCTCGTTCTACTTCATTTACCAAATGCGAAGATGCGCCCCGATGAGGTGACCGTTTGCCCATGGTTCCGGATTTGGTTATGGTCAGTGCCCTATTTACGGACTTTTTTTTTATTTCTGAAGATTTTGTTCCAACGAAACAAAACAGAATGATGAATGTTTATTTTTCTCTTTTTTTCTGCCCGCACGCCGCTTTGATAGTGCACGGCCGATTAAACGAACTCAAATTTGAGTTTCGTTCACTCAAATTCACTAAAATGCACACAGAAAAATAAAACTACCCAAAGTTTGTATATTTAAAACTTAATTAAATTAATTATTAGTTTCATCTAGAAATACTCAGAGGGAGAGATGAGCGGAGAAAACAAAACACAGGCAGCAGGGATTTGTTCCTAAATTATCTTGCAACCCTTGCTAGAAGCCAGCATTTCACAGGACTTTTATTTTTGATTCGATTTACGTGCAAAATAATCACGCAGAAAAAAACATAGGTGAATCAAATAAAGTTCGTTTCACTTTAAACAAAATTTTGAATAGAATATGGATCAATAAAATTGACAGAGTAATTCAACAAAAACATTGAGTTGAAATAATTATACAAACTTTATTGAATTGATCATCGGTTATTATTGATTCAAACAAAATGTTTGCTTAGATCAAATTGAAGCATTTTTTGAAGCAATGTACGTTTTTTGTTGTCTTGAAACATCATTTTAATTATTTAAGAATCGTTTTTATTTTCAATGCCCAGGTTGTCTTTATTGAAAAAAAAAAATATTGCGAGAAGTCTTTGTTCGATTGAGACAATTGAGCAGTCACTGTTTGTCACGTTCGCTTAATTAAGTTGGCATACTCGTCATATTCACCAGAGCCAGAGCCATTCTGGTGTTTATTCTGATGTTGTTGGTGTTAATGTTGACTTTTTGTGTTGCTGGAAGTGAGTGCATCTGCTGCAAGTGCAGCGATGGTGGCTGATGGTGACGATGATGGTTCAACAAGAGATGGTTCTCTTAAATCTTCTGAGCCAGACGTTGTGGTTGGAAATTGGATGATTTTGCTCCTGGAAGTTTGGTGGAGCCATATTTTGGAGGAATAGTGAGGGCCACTACCTGATAGGGGAAAATTCATCTGGATGGACACATATTCAACGGTGGAGGAATTTTAATCGGCATCGATAGCCGTTGTTTGTCTTAGCTCCGATTGCTTGATGGAAGTTGGGCTTGTCCTAAATTTCGATGATGTTACTTTACTTTTGAAGGTTCTCTTGCTGAATAGGAGGACGTGGCGTCAGCATTTAGATTGCTACAACTCGGCTTGTTGCTATCCGCATCTGGAAATGTGAAATAATAGAAGATTCGTAAATGCTTATTTTGAAAGTTTCGCCTTCCACCTACCTGGTTCTCCTGGTTGAAACACATTTGCCATTGATTGTGGCCTAGTAGTTTTCGGTATGCTTGGAATTGTCGAAACAAACTCTTGGATCTTCTTTTTAAAGAAATAACATGGAATAAATTAGAAATATTAACATGGTTGAAAAGATGTGGTGACGATCTTCATGAAATGCATGCCGACACAGACTGACAGTTTGACACATGCAGTTCAATCAATTTTATCAGTTTGATTTAAATGGAGTGCTGTATTTATTTAAAACATTTTTATTAATTGAATCAAACATATATATCGTATTAAAAAATAACAAAATGTTTTGTTAATTTACGCCTGAGTGTTTTTTCTGCGTGAATAATTGATTGCATCGCAATATTTTGCACATTTCTTGGTGCCATTATTAACCAACACGGATAGAAATCTCCTTATACCTTTTGGCAAATTTCCATTGCTGATTATTCATAAATTGTATAAGTCAACTAATAAGCAGACGCCTTGCAAAAAGTTAATAAAGATCATGTGTCAAATGAAATGTATAAGCACAAACGAAGTGACAGACGACTAACTGGCGAAGAAATCAATTAAAATAATGTGGTTCGCTGTAATAGAATTTTCTTGGAAGCTTATGCCATCATCCACCAGATGGGTTAGTTTTTTGTTTTGATTTGAACAAAGTTTATTTTGTGTACAATGATTCTTTGACAGTGTGCAAAGAGTGCGTATCATTTTGTCATTTTTTTATGCATTTCGGTTTTGAGTAGAGTGAAAGAGATAGAACCAAAACATTCTAATACATTTGGTGAAAATGCTAGCACAATCCAGTAGTAGTATTGCCATGTGGTACAATCCAGTAGTAGTGGTGTTGCCATGTGGTACACTGAAAAATTGAAATAGCAGGTTACACACCAAATTTAAATCACTGGAAATCAGCAATATTTTGCTGATTTTGGACTTGACGAAAGATCAGCAAACCTTCCAGCAAAATAATGTTGCTGAAACTTCCAGCAATCCGAACTTCTGTCAAAATGACAACGTTTTACTGAATTTTCAGTAAATCTGTTATGTATTGCTGAAGCTGCAGCACAAATGTAAATGACAGCGTTTAACTGATTTTCCAGCAAATTTCGACGAAATATTACTGAAACAACAGTAAATTTATTTATATCCGTTTCTACTGATTCTTCAGCAAGTTTCAGCTTCATAGTTCGGAACCAGCTGTCGAATTATTGTATTTTTTTTTTAATCACAATCACACAAAAAACACGATTTAAAGTACGATGCAGCAAATCATAATTTTATTCATTGGCAATTAGTAAATTTCAGAGTACTTTTTTTTATCCCCGGGACCCGTGGGGGCAATTTTACATATGCAAGAAAATCAACTTTCCTGCTATCCTCCAATTATATGCTTGCAAAAAAACACTGGAGCGCCTGCAAAAACATAATTTTTTAGCTATAAATCAACTTACAAAACAATTCTCGGCATTCCAGTTGTCTATCGCTTAAATTTTCATTGCTGGCTCCATGTGTACACGAAACTTTATAATATCTCACAGTTAAAAAAAAACAAATACGTACCGTGCCTGGAAGCACGGCAACGAAAAAACGTCAATGAAAAATTAAATTTGAAGTAGGTAGTAGGCAAGCTTTTCCCGACTGTCATTTAAGTAGACAGGATGTTCGGTTTACTGATTATCAGCAAATACTCTGACATTCGTCTGTTTGCTGGATGTCGGCAATGCCAAAAATGCTAATTCTGAATTCCAGTAAAATATTATTATGCTGAACCTATTTCAGCAAACTGTTTTGCTGAAACTCAAAATTTAAACTTGGTGTGTATACCTCAATCAACACCTGCTGGAACGAATCTGTTAATTTGATTCGATTTTTTTTTACTGATTTACACGCGCAAAATTCACGAATGTGTGAACATCAAAATAGCTGTCTTGGCATTAATTGAATGCATCTTTTTATTCATTTGAATTGCAGGGGATATTTTCCAAAAAGGGGAAAAAGTACCCGCTTTTAGATTTTTCAAAATACCCATTTTTTGACAGGTTTGATTAACTTCAAAAAATGAGTACAAGGGTAGCGTGAGAGAAAAATAATACATATCGGCCGGTGTTAACAATAATTTCGCCGTTTCTTAGAGCGTTTGCTCTGGCATGGCTGGCATTTTTTCTAAGTCCCGGATTTAGCTGACTGAGTGGCTTCTACCTTAGAGGTAACCCGTAAAAAAAAAAAAAACGATATAGGTACAATGAAATGTATTGTAACCATACAATAGAATTTAATGTACTTAAAATAAATTGTATCGTCCACAACTATAAAATAACCATAGAATTATTTATTGTTTGCACAATATAATCTATGGTAAATGGAGAAATCTACAATAGAACAAGGGGGTTGTTATGTATCTTAACCATACAAAAAATCAGTTTTTCCCGAACAAACTTGAGCCATTTACCATTTATTTTATTGTCTTCTATTGTTGAAAATTCATACTATATGGAACGTATTGTACATCTAATGTAATAACAATATGTTAAAATTTGTTGTACAATATACGCACAATAAGATTGATTGTTGGCAATAGATTTGGATGTATTTGTATTTTATTTAATGGTAATTGTATGGTTATTTTTTTCCGGGAACTCTAATACCCCGTACAGACTATGGCTTATATCATGTAATATAGGCTGTCTTGCAATGAGCACTCATACCAACCGGTGAACACTCGTGTTTATTTCAGTTACCATGGAGACGTAATTTGTGATAAACCCCGGTCCCTTTCAAATTGTATCATTATTTATGAACGGCCTTATATTTGAAATGACGTTTCACATTCATCTAGTGATGTCCGATTTTCATTCGAATAATCGTTTAATCGATTAACGAACCGAAAAGTAAACTATTTATAATCGGTTAGATCATGCCGATATAAGCATTAACATCTCCACAAGATCATCACCGATCGTTTCAAACATGTGCTGCACTCTCATTGGTGGAAAAATGGCAGCACAGCGAACAAAAAATAATCGATTAGTTGTTAATCGAGTAATTAAAAAATGGGACATCTCTGATTTTGGTGAGATTGTTTTGATAAAAATGAGCGCAAAATTTCATCTCTATTGAGGGGGCAGCAAAACCACAAAATTACTTTGAATACGGGGGGTATTCATTGGATGAAAGGGACCGTGAAAGAGGACACTAAAATTGAAAGTTTTTCTTCCGACAGTTTCATCTTAGTATTCATCTTTGCTCATACATCTAGTTTTCAATGGAAATCCTATGTATGAGTGCTCATTGCAAGACAGCCTATATTACATGATATAAGCCATAGTTTGTCCGGGGTATAAGACAAGTAGGTCCCGAAGAAACGTGCTCAACTTTTTGGCTCACCTCTGGTACTATCTTCGGTCCCAAGCTTGTCGAATCACCCCTCGAAACATAGGAAAAACCAATAACCCCTCATTTTATCTGTCAAACTTTCATAGCGAATTAAAACAAAAGTCAATCGTTTGCTTGGGACCAATAGGCTACTAAAGTGGTGAGCCAATTTAAAATCGTTAGTTTCGTATTGATTGTTGCTTCTACTCAGTTTGACATATCAGTGCCAACATTTCAAAGGGGCGTAATTGCATTTGTAAACAATGGCTTTACCCGTTGATTTCTCGCGAATAAAAGCTCACTCTTGAAAAATAATGACACCAACAGGTAGATGAATGTTTCCTCTACTAGGTAGCATTGTTAATTTGGAGGGGCGCGCTTTGAGTTGCGAGAAATCGACGGCTAAAGCCATTGTTTACAAAAGCAATTACGCCCCTTTGAAATGTTGGCACTGATATCTCGTTTACTCAGATTTTGACAACCTAATGTATCAGACGAAATTGAGTACGATCGGCTCACCCGGTGAGAAAGCTGAAGTAAGCGTGCACAGAAAAACAAAACTACCCACCGCTTGGGTTTTTTAAACTCAAATTTGACACGGAACCAAATTTTGTTCATTTAAGTTAAAAATATATATGTTTATTAAATAAAAATATGAATAGTTCAAAGTAAATTAAAAACATGTTTTCAACAAAAATATGTATGTTTAAATTAAATTAAAAAGCATGTTTATTTCAACAATACATAATCTGGGTAATCAATTTTTAGCGTGTCCTTTTTTCCTTCTTGTTTACATTCGGCAAACTTAACCGAAAACGGCTTGCAAGCGGCGAAACCGAACTATAGAGGGTCTGGAAACCCACGCAGGCAAGTGTTCCAAGCTCGAAAAAACCGGTGGAACATCACAATATTAACGTCAATCCGTCGTTTCTGATGCCGATCCCCATATCATCCTCACCCCCACCCGACGTCGAAAGAAAAACAGATCATCCCCGAACACTAAAAAGAAAAGAAAAGAAAAAGGCCGGTATGAGGACCAGCGTCAGAAACGACAAAATGACGCTAATATCACAAAGTTTCACCGGTTTTACTGAACTGGATCGGATCGAACACCCACCCCGACGGCCCCCCGGATCCAAACATGCACAGACTTTCCATAATCGCAGGAATTTCTATTTATTTGCTATCCATTTTATTTTGATTTATTCAACATTCAAATGCTAAAATAATTTCAAAATATGTTTGTTTATTTTAAACATGAAAAGCATGTTTAAAATAAACATATTAATTTTTGATCACATATAGTTTTCAAATAAAACAAAAATATTCACGTTTATTTTCAACACGAATATTTTTAAAATAAACGTAACATTATTTTTGTTTTAAACATTATTATCAATGGATTCAAACATAGAATACGTTTGAAATCAACCTAGTTTATGTTTGTGGCCAGAACAAACTGAGTTTACGTTTAAATTTGCCTCAAATATTTTTGTTTCGACGGTAAATTTCTCTGCGTGGAGTTATTTGACCTCTGCCCGTTTCATTTCCTCTCGCTATTGTTGTCAAAAATAGAACGAAAGATTCGACTCAACCGTCTAGTTCCGTACGAGAAGCCAAAATTGAGTAATATGCGATATACCCAAATTTGAGTTAATTGAACTTAATTTTGGGTAGAAAAAAATGAAAATAACTTAGCGATGGGTAATTTTTTTTGTCGTGCTTAAATGCAAACTACTTTGAGGCGGTTTACCCAAATTTGGCTTATCGTACGGAACATGGGAGATGAGTGAAAAGAACTTAATTTTGGGTTGTTTTGAATTTCTGTGTGTAGTGTGCGTGCGATAAACGTCACTAATCTCTATGACAGACGTGTTCAGTTTCGATGTTTCTATCCTATCCCCCATCAAAACAACTGCCTCTAGAAAAACATCGCGTTTGGAAATCGCGCAGTGGCGACAAGTTTGTTTGTTTCGCACTTTTCGATAAATAAATGCCTGTTATTTCCAAATCAAAGTGAAAAACTCGTTGAAAATTTCCTTTGATGAACACCGACGTTATCCAGAAGCAAGCCCTCGCCGTCGATCCACCGGATGAGTATTTTGATCCGGACCTACAGCCAGAAACGGGCGAACAGTATCTACAGAAGGTCATCTTCGAGCGGAAGAACTGCCCCGCCGTCGTGGTGGCCAAACCGAGCCCAAAGCGACGCCACCAGCAGCAACAGCAACCGAAGAATCTCACCGGGAGTGGGGCCATTCCGATGGTAAGATTTTGGGTTTGAGTGTTTATGGTTGTTGGATTAATCTGTTTTCTGCTAGGATCTTGTGAAAAACGTCGCTCCTCGAGCACTGATGCCTACGAAGGAATGGGAATCGATACAGAATAGAAAATTTGCCGAACTGAGGGAAACGATTACCGGCTACCGAAACAGTGTTTACTATCAAGAAAATTTACAAAAAACCCATATCTATTTAAACTTTGAGAACCGGAAGCAGCTGCACGAGTACTGTGCCAAGAATCAACCCTTCGTTCGCATCCTGCTGAGTATGCCGCAGCGCAATCTGGAAATTTTACTCGAGTACCTGTACGAATGGCTGCAGGAGGAACGGAGTGAGGAGGTTTCGGTGGAGGAGCGAATCTATCGGAAGGACTGGATCACCCAGTGGATCTATGCCATTCTGGCGTGCATCATCACGCCGCTCGAACCGTACGTCCACAGTGTGCTCAGGGACATTGCCAAGATGTGCATCGCCATGCGAAACGATCTGGCCGCCGAGGACGAACTGAAGGTACTGCCGTTGAATTTGCTTATCTGTATTATTTCGAAAAACTTCAATCAGCTCGATCTGAGCGATAACGTCGAGTGATAAACCGCGGCTTCCTCATATATTGATAATCCTTTTTTTTATGACATATTTTTTGAATAGATTTAGAAGACTAACTTGAAATCGATTTTTCGAGAGTCAGAGTTGTGATTCGTTCCGAAATTTCCTGGGAGAGGGGGTTCAAAGAAACTAATCGTCCGTTCACTTTACGTCATTGTTTTGGTGTTTTTTATTTGTGGTAATCATTATTCTTAACTGGTTTAAATAGTTAAACGTTAGTCACTGTTCTACCTAGCATTTCAGGGGGTTACAGTGTTTTATTTATTTAATAGTAAAATGGTACACTGGTTGCTTCAAGTTGTCCTACAAAAGTAGGGTACGGCTTTCTAAAAAGGAAAATGTAGAAAGGAAGGAAACTTGGTATCGCTCCGCTGCGCCCCAAGGGCTCTTTCGTAGTGTCCTAAAGCTTAAACTCCTGGTCCTTATAATACAGAATGGGTTGGTCCAGTTCGGTTCGGAGGCACTTTTTAAGTGCCCCCATCACCAGCTCCTGAATCTGTTCCACCTGATGGGCCGGGGTGTAATCGTCTTCGCTCGATCGGGACATTGTGATCACGGTCGGCGGAGCTGGAAGTCGCGCTAGGAAGCTCTCGAGCTGTTGTACCAGGGCATGGATTTCCTCTCGGGTGGATTCGTGGTGTGGCAGATCCGTCACGTCGCACGTGCATCCCGCATCGTAGATCATCGACCAATCGATTTCCTCTTCGGCGTACTCTTTCTTTAAAGTCGCCACCAAGTTGGACACCTTCTCCAGCAGCAGCGAATACTCTTCACTGATTTCCTGCTGGTAGTCCACGAGGAAGTGCTTCAAATTTCCCACCTCCTCCAGGTACAGGAACATCGATTCGAGGAATTCCAGTTTCTCTTCCCGATCTTTGGCGATCCGTTGAAGCTTCGCCAGATCGTTCTCTGTGGTGTCGGCCAGCTCCGGGGAAATGAATATATCCTTCAGCTTGTCGTAGAGGCCAACCTTTTCGTAGATTTTCAAAAACGGATTGTGTGTGCTGAAGTAGTCCAGGTCGATGTCCAGGATGTAGCCATCCTTGAGGCCGTCGTCGTCGGACAATTTGTACTCTTCGATGGCGCAGACTTGCAGGGTTAGGGACTTTTTGTTCTCCAACTGCTCTTCCGGTTGGTAGCAGCCCTCGGAGACGAAGTATTCCAGCGTCGAATCGGTCCGGATGCTGCCCTCGTGTTCGCCCACGTGGAATTGGAATCTGGAGGAGGAAGGAAAAGATAAATTGAATTTAACACATGTGATGGGGTGATTTTTCAGCAATCCAGTTAACCCATTTGCCTTGAAGAATTATTAAGTTATCGATTCCGATTTGATTTAAACATTTAGTCTAGAAATAACGCATGAACATTTTTCACAACCTGTACAGTAGAAGCGCCCTAATTGTTAGCACAATTTTAAATTTCATGGAAATTATATTCGATTTTATTGAGCTTCTTAGAATAATGAACCAATTTTAGACATCCTGACCAGGGTAATAACGCCGATAACACCATTAACAACCCTGATCCTGACGAGTTTCTTAGGATGTCCAAAGTAGACCTTAAAGATTTTTTTTTTTAACTTTATACTTGGTAATTGAAATTATATGAAGCTGTACATTCTCCAAACATGTTAGTGTTTGTATGTATTGAGTTCATCTAAACTAGTCCTCAAAGCTGATCGTAACTATTATGAAATAAAAAATGGCCAGGTGGATTACTTTTATGAACCGCATTTCTTGCTAGGGGCTAACACTTTTCAGCATAATTATTGTCCTATTCGTTAAAACAGCAAGCTGAGAAAAACGCTATTGGAGATTTTATTTTCTCTATGGGTTCTTATGGATGGGTCAACAAAGTTTTGGTATTTTTCACGACATTTTCTGAACAAAATAGGAAATTTTTCGTGTACATTGTAAAGTGATGGTCCATGACAATCGATTCCAATGTATAATTAATGTTCGCCAAAAAATACTAATGGAACTGTTCTGCCGCACAGGGCAGTACATTTTCAGGGCTGTTACAAGATTTTCTAAATTTGATCCGCGAAATCCGCGATTTCTCAAAAGAAAACCGCGACTTCAAATACTAATCCGCGACAAAAAAAAAAAAACGGTTGTCATTGCCTAAAAATAGCATTTGCATACTACTACATGGCATTTCAAGCTTATTGCTTATAGCATATTAGATTTTTGCCTGCTCTCAACTTAATGTTCTTTGAAGTACTATCACATTTTAATTGAGAGCTTTCTATGCCTGTACCATCCTATGCCCAAGAAAATAGAGAAATTTACCAACCCGAAAAATTAATACACCAGACGGGAATCGAACTCAGTCGCCTCCAGCATGGACTTGCTTTGTAGCTGCGCCTTTACCGACTGAGCTAAATGAGTATCGTTTGAAAGCTTTGAAATTTTTCAAATAACATTGGATCATCTTCGGTGATTTATGTATAGTATAAATTATGAGTAATAAGTGAATATAATAAAACACTTACATTATGAGATTCTATTGAATAATACCGGCCTAGATTTGATGAAATATTAATGCATTTTCATTCGAAATGCATTTTTTTTTGAAAACTAACCTTTGCGTCTATGACGTATTTTTCTGTCCTAAATGTTGTAGTTAATTTGGCTCTAGTGTTCACCCTGCACATCAAATAATCGACAAATTACCAGAGTTTCATAAGCCACATTCCTTGGGTTCTGTCCAATGGTGAGAAATTTTAATTTTTTTTCTTCAATATGAACCTACCTGTTTTCGTTGTCAAATCATAACCAAATTGTTTACATCCGGAGTGATTAGAGATTTGGGCGTAATTGCTTTTGTAAACAAACAGGTCAATCACCGATTTCTCGTGAAAAAAAAAACCTCAATCTCATAAGTGGACCCTACACGTGTGCTTATATTGACAATAATCGTATTTTCAATACATTCTATATTGACGTCAATACATCGATATTAATTCTGTATTCACATCATCAATATAATAGTCAATAATCCCCCTTCACGTCAATATATTGATACGTGTGGAGGAGGAATAATTCATTCACCTCATAGTGTTATTAGTTTTCGAAATTGAGCTTCCATTCGCAAGAAATTGGCGATTGACGTGTTTGTTTACAAATGCAATTACGCCCAAATCTCAAATCACTCTGGATATGTGACTTTGTGAATCATGCACGACCTATTACTATGTATACCGAAAATTATAAGTTTTCCAAATCGTCCAGGACATCAGTTGATTTGTTCTACTAGATCAACCAAGACTGCAATAATTTCTGTAGTAGGGTTAACTACCCCATTTCCAGCCTATTAAGCACAACCCGCACTTAGTCTTTCTTAATCAAGCGCAGTTTAGCACCAAACGGAATGTTATTAGTACTGATGGCTTCCAAATTTATTTACCTTTCCGTACGTACCGTAAGATTTGATAAAGAGAAACCAATCGTTGAGATATTACCAAAAGTCTAACATTGCTTCTTGACGCCAAACTCGGCCTACGGATTCTAAGCTCGGCCTAATGCATTGAAACGCCAATAAATTCACTTCGGCCTATCGGATGAAGAAAACAATTGATTCGGTCGGAGCGCTTCTTTTGTTTTTGGGAATAATGGGTACAAACCTTTATATCACGCATTCTCATTGACTTTGTTCGGTAGCTTATTAACTAAAGTATCGTACCAAACGCATAATAGACTTGTCAACTCTGAAATCATGGATTTATTTGAAGTTTTCTGCTCGATAGACCCAAAATGGGCGATTAGGCCGAAGTAGTTCTCTACCCTATCAGAAAATGTCCAATCAGATTCAAAGTGGATCATGCAAGATCTCTTTCCGAGTATGTAATCCATATGTTCAAGGTTCTTCAAATCGTCCTGGAGTTCAGATAATTTGATCTACCGAGATTGGGACAATGTCTTTAGTATCAAAATATTTCCAGACAGATGCACAGTGTCTATGTGGATCATGCATATATACCAAAAGTTCTCCAAATCGTGCTGGAGTTCAGATGATTTATGCCGACGTGTCTATATAGATAATGTTTAATTATTTCCACGTATACCAGATGATCTAGGTTCTCCAAATCGTCCTGCAGTTCATTTTTCATATTTTACTCGATCAACAAAGACTAGATCTCCAAAATCTCATAGAAGCATGAATTCGTATAAAATCAAAGGGTCTCCTGCAAAAATTTAGCCTAAATGTTGTTTTGGTATGTTGAAAAAAAGCATAAATCAATACGCAGTATTAAAAATTCTTAAAATCTTCCAGGAGTTGAAGTTCTATATGCCTAAAAACATTTGGTGAAATACAAAGATGTGTTACCAAAATATTTAAATTGTATTGGAGATATTTTACAGGTTCATAGATATCTTGTTCGATTTCTACTTTTGAGCATTTTGAGTCTCCGTTCGAGTTATAATTTAAGATTATCAATACGATGATTCGACTTAATGATAGAATGGGTAAACCTTCGGGAAGCCCCATAACATAATTGCCCAAGTAACAATTTTGGTTTTATCATGGTTTTGAAGAGGCCTTATAGGCTTAGAATGGATTTAAAGACCACATTGAAATCGAAAATGTTGCTTGTGTGGTTTGGAATATTAGAGTTCAGATCTTTTCAGAGTTTTTTTTTTTAATTTATATATTATATTATTATGTATTATACTATATATAATAGTAACTTTAACACTCATGGATCATTCGTGACTTATCCCGGTTAGATTTAAGTTCATGATAATAATAAATGCCCCTAGGTTTGTGCTGGATGATTTATCTCTAAGATAATCAAGTACATTGACTTCAGCGTGAGAGGTATGGATTCAGATCTTTATATTTTACAGGCTAACCAAGCTATTCTACGCTATCCTAACAAATCTTGTGTACCTGATTAGCACAAAGTGCAGAAATTATTTTTAATTTATCTCTGGACCAATCATCTTATGTTTTTTTAAGTTCGTTGATTGTGTACAGTGTCGAACATTTGCAGGCCAAGCATGATCGGGTATGCAAGGCGTTTGATATCGGACTTTTTTTTAATTGGCATGAATTGGGTTCTTTAATTTTGAAAAATATATCGGTTTTTATATATCATCTGAAAGAGCTTCGTTTTCTGAGCACAGCGATATTTTTTTCGAACCCACACACTTTCATCTCGATTTTTAAATCAAGATTTAAAGCAAAATAATAACTTCACACTAAACTGACAAACTGACAGCTCACTCCCATACAAAGTGACACCGAGTGGCGCTAATAAAGTGATTTTTGCGAATATAATCGTTCTTATTTAAAATAGTTCCAGTGTACCAAAATTGATGTAATTTAGGGTTTGGGTTCCATTTTTAATGCAGATTACGAATATGCATTTACCTCAATACCCTTAAAGAACCCAATTTGCTTCTCTATCTTCAAGTAGCTTAGAGACAAGATATGTCTCGGTTAGGCTCTATATTAACACTACTTTACTCGGAGAACTATAGAAAAATAAGTAAAAAAAAATGTTCATCCAATGACAACCAAAAGAGAAAAAATACCCTGTAAGCTATCTTGGTAGCTCCACATGCTCCAACAAATAAAAGAAAAGAATAGATTTGTTTTGTAATTTTGAGGAATTTTGATACTTTACCACAGTGAAAGCATAATATGAAAATGGTAAACAGAAGTGCAACAAATGAATATAATTATGCATATTAAAAAAATGATTGATTCCATGTAAAAATGCAAGTTTTATAAGGGTTTAAATGTTTCTTGAAGACCAAATTATGGCCTACAATACTATGATAAAACCAAAATTGTTACTTAGAATGAGTATACATTATCTTTCCCGGTGCGATTTGGGTTTTCCCGCATTTTTCCCGGCAAATCCGAATTCCCGGGTTTTTTCCGGATTTCCCGGTTTCCCGGTTGGATGGACACCCTGATTATATACGATTCGTTTATGATTTGACAACGAAAAATGCTATGTTCCCATTGGAAAAAAAGGAAAATGTCTCACATTGGACAGACCTCAGGGAATTTCCGTGTAAATCCAGTGTGACTTATGGAATTGAGATCATTTCTCGATTATTTGCAGGATGTTTGGTTTGAACGGTAAAAACTGAGAGCCAAATTAACAACAAAATTGATGACAGCAAAATAGTCCGGGACGGAAATGTTACAATGAATTCCACAATTTTTGTGACAGCACATCAGTCCCTTCGCGATATAATGT